TTATGTTTTCGTTTAGCTGGTATTTCTTTTTTTACTGGTGACATTGATGGATAAAAATCATTTAAATTGAAAAATGATGAATAATTATGATGATGTGTTGGATCATTACATGTCTCAGAATGTTCATGGTTTGATCCAGATTCTGTTATTGAAGTTTTTTCTTCGATTGATGTTGCAATATGTTCCTCATTTTTATTTTCGATATTAACTGCAGCCATTGATTAAATAATATTGTATATTCTTGAGCAAGTATACGGTAAAAAAAAAATAAGACAAAGTTCTATTACAAAAATCAGATAAATAAATATTTATATATTTCTATTGTTGGAATTTCCATACGATATAACAAATTGGGAATTTTGTTGATGTAAAATAACCTTTCCAGTAATCGGATTTGATAAGGATAATTAACGAATGGAAGAATAGAGGTCGCAATTGACTGGATATATTTTGATTGGAAGAAAACTAAACCAAAACAATGCATATCAATTATGAATCTTTTTTTGTATGAGAAAAAGAAAATAGATTTTTCTTTTGGATCAAGATGGGCGATAGCGATGATGATTTTGACAGTCGACGAAATCGTGATAAATTTCGTCGTGAACGTGATGATTTTAGTGGAAATCGAGGACATAATAATCGTAATAGTGGAGAATGGAATGATGGAAGGTAAGAAGAAATGGTTTCTTGTTAATAAATTATATTCCATAATCAATAATATTATACAGTTAGATTACAAAGATCAGTATGTTTTATACCTAAATTTACAATTTAGCTGTTTTTTTTTCTCACTTGAAAATATTTGTATATTCCATTTTCTTTTTGTTTTTAGAGATCGATCAAATCAGTTTCGACGACAATATCCCGGTGGTCTATTACCTGGACGTGATTTTCAACCAAGATACAACCGAAGTCCTGCTAGATATGATATGAGTCCACCACAAAATAAGCGTCTTCGACGCGATTGGTAAAATCTAGTGTTTATTTTCTATTAATAAAATCATTTTGTTTTTTTTTCTCTTAGGGATAATTCTGATCAACCACCATCTCATTTTGATCCAACTGTTGGTTCAACATATCTTCCTAGTGGAGGAGGTTTTCATCCGAATTTACCATCAAATATTCAACCGACTACGGATCAATTGAATAAGTAAGATTTTCTTATGTTTATATGTTTTTCTATAAGATAATATTTATTTTTCGTTGTAGAGAATCATCCGATGCTACAACACAACCACCATTGCTTAGTTTTAAAAATTTTCTTCTCGATCAAGATGATAATATCGATCAAGAAGAAGCTGTTAAACGTTATAATGATTATAAAACAGGCTTTAAAAAAACTCAGATAGCTGAATTTTTTAAAGCACATAAAAATGAAGAATGGTTCGTAAAATTACTTTTACTTCCTTTAAATTATTTTATATTGAAAATGTTATTTCTATTCAGGTTTAAATATAAATATCATCCTGATGAATATCCAAAACGTCGTCAAGAACAAAAAGAAATAATTAAAAGACGTTTAGAAATTTTTATGGATCTTTACAATAAAGGATATCTGAATAATGTTAGTGTTGATATTGATAATCAACATGCACTTACAAGATTTCTTGATGCTGGTAAGATGTATTCATTTAATATCTTCGATTGACATTATATTAAAAAATATAAAGGATTTTCATTAACAACTGTGGGCCATAATGACTAGCCTCCTTTTATATCTTCTTTTCTGCGTCATCTAATACGTTTAAGGGATTGCCCGAGTGAGAAGAGCTGACTTCCAATCTTGAAAAATTTTCATTTTTCCCCAGTTTTTTATTGCTTCCTTACGCATTGATTCCCAAGAAAACATTTAATCTCCCTCCAATCCTGGCCATCTCAGAATATTCCTGATTACACTTTATTAAAAAACAAAATATATCACAAGATGCAACATGAAAAGCTCTACTATCTACAAAGCAAAACTTATTCTATACATACAGTTGTTTTTAAAATAGACCAAATTCTGTTTGAACAGTTTTGGCCATCGTGAAGAAGATCATTTTTTCAGGCCATGACGAATTTCTTTTTTTAATTCATCAATTAATCTAGACCATTAACATCAAGATTATTTCGTGGTCAACTATGATTATTTATAAGGTGTTTGAAATTTTCTTCATACCATGCTAATCATTCTTGATGTATATGTGGTGTGGCGTTGTCCTGATGACAGATGAAATCACCATCTAGTAGAAGTTAATCTTTAGTATGTACATGTGGTACAACAATTTCAACATAATTCTCATGTAATATAATGTTTCAGGAGGTTTAATTATAATTGGAGAATTAAGGTAATTTTTTGAAGCTCCTAACCACACCATAACTTATTTTTTAATAACAACAGAATGAATGAAAAAAATATATGTCAATTATTTTAAAATCGACTATTTGATTATAATCTTCGAGATGACTTGTTTAATCGAAGAAATCAGAAAAGGAATTTCATCGTCTACGAAGAAAAACAATCTTATTCCTAATGTCGAAAAGTGATCACATAGCATTTCGTCTACTTGGAAACTAAAAGTTCATAAATAAAATAATCGTTGGATTGTACATTGTAGAACTTTTTATGCTTCATCTTGTGGTATATTTTACTTTTTAATAAAATGCATTAAATGATGAAAAGAGAACCAGTCAATAAGTTTGCTCGATATTTTCAGATGTTATTTAGATAACAGCTGTATAAGGATATGCTTTAATTTCAACATTTTCTCGCTACCATTTAGAACATTTTTCAACACTCTTGAAAGATAGCACGTGTTCATCTAAAATAGATCATCGTGAATGAGTTTTGTTTTCTGCATCTAAAACAGGTGTGAATAGTTTCCATCGAGATTTTATTATGGAGACAATAATTAAATAATGATGATATATTTTAAAAAATAAATAGCAGTGTTTATGCTATCAGCACTTAAAAAAAGAATTTTTTTGGGTTTTCTCAATGGTATTAAAGTGTTACCACTACTTCTTATTGAGTAGATTAATGCAGATATGTATTTAACAAATAGTTCTCAACATTTATTTTTCTGCTTATATACACAGCTGTCATCAAAATGGAAGATGGAAGTGATCAAGATCTTCGTGTGCTCGATGTTATTGGATCATCAAATAATACAAGTGATGAAAATCTATCTAAACAATCATCAGAGAAAATAGATAATAAAACAAATAATGATGAAACCAATTCGAAGAAACCATCTGACAATAAAGTAATATATTTAAATTCAGATAAACCAATAGTTTTCTTTTTTTGTTGAAATTTTTTTAGAGAAAACGTGAAGATAGTAAATCTGATGATGGAACAGTATCTGATGGTGATAATGGATCATCGATTCGTATGCTATTCTCAATAGTTATTTTGCATATTAAAAATTTTCTTTCTTCTAGCTGAATCAAAAGATAAAAATGAAATAAAATCATCTTTACAAGATAATGAACAAGAAGCTGGTGAAGTACCTGATGCACCACGATTATTACATCGAACATCATCAATATTCTTTCGTCATTTACCTATGCAAACAACAAAAGAGGATCTTGAAAATGTACAAAACGATTTTCTCCACCTTTCAAAATCTTTAAATAAAAAATTGTTCATTTAATTTAGATTTGTAAACAATATGCTGGCTTTCGTCGTGTTTGTATAACTGATCCTGCACCTGAACGAAAATTTTCTCGTCGTGCTTGGGTTACTTTCGATCATTCGGTTCAAATACGAAATATTTGTTATGAACTTAATCTTACTAAAGTACATTTTTCTTATTCTTTTGTAAAAGAAAAACAAAACAAACAAAGCTTCATCTTTTCTTTTTTGACAGTTACATGATGTTGATATGGGTGCTATAATAAATCGTGAACTTAAAAATCGTGTTCGTACAATTAATGGTATTGGACATCATAAAACTGTTGTACGTAATGATATTCGACTTATAACAAAAATCATCAACCAATTAGATGAACGATGGAAAATTTGGGAATCGAATGAAAATGATCATAATGAAAAAAAGACTACAATAAGAACTTCATCAATAACTGATGATAGTGAAATTTCATCTTCAACAATGAATACATCATTAACTCAAAATAAAAATCCTATTGGTTTTGTTAGTTATAATCCATTATTAAAAAATATAACTGAATATCTTGTTGAAGAATGTGATGCAGAAGAAGAAGAATTACTTGGTGATACATCAACAACTAATCAAAATAATTCAAATACATTTGAAATTGATAAAGAGTTAACTAAAGTAATAAAATAAACTAATTGATTTTTTTTCTATTTTAATATATTTTAAGGTATTAGATCGTTTAATTTTATATTTACGTGTTGTTCATTCAGTTGATTATTATAATGGTACTGAATATCCTCAAGAGGATTCAATGCCAAATCGTTGTGGTGTGATACATGTGCGTGGTGCACCATTATCTTCAATAACACATAGTGAATTGGCAAATTTTATGCAACAATTTGAAACACGTCTTAAAACATATATTGATTTTCATGAAAAATTAAATGTTGATGAAGCTTTGAAATTAGGTACAAAAAATGAAGACAATGAAATAGAAAAATTTATTAATGCAAATTGTCAAGAAATTGGTAAAGATAAATGGTCATGTCCATTAAGTGGAAAGAAATTTAAAGGTCCAGAATTTGTTCGTAAACATATTTTAAATAAACATCAAGATAAAATTGATGAAGTTAAAAAAGAAGTAATGAATTTTTAAATAAAATTTCTTCGATTAGAAAATGATTTCTATTTAGGTCATTTATTTTAATAATTATTTATATGATCCAAAACGACCACAATTACCAGAACATCCATCAAATAGACCTGGAGCAACACCAATGGGACCAAATGCATCTGGCTTACCATTACCGACACCAATGGCCGCTCAACCATTACTTACACGTACTCCCATATGGCCTTCTAGTATGTCAATACAGTTTATTACTGATTGAAATTTATTTTTATTTGAATTTTAGTGTCTGTACCTCCTCATTCTGGTCCGCCAGGTTATTATCCGAATCAATTTCATCAAGTTCGTCATCCAAGACCACCATTTATGTATCAAGGCGTCGGTGGACCTCCCAGTGGTCCATTTCATCGACCAACGTAAGTTGTTTATTTTGTTTTCAATTTTAAGAAAAGATAATATCTATGCTTTGGAAAACCACAATTATTTATGTTTGCATATATATTTACTTTTATTCTGTTTCATGTTTTCTTTGTTCATTTTAGAAGTAATCGACCACTGAGAAGTTATGAAGATCTTGATGCACCGAATGAAATGTAATTTTAAGTTGTCAAATATTTTGAATGAATTAAAACAATATGCTAGTGATGTTGTTGATGTGTTTGTATTTTTTTCTCATGTTCATCAATGTTATGTGAGCACGGTCGTCAATCTCTTGTTTTTTTTTCTTGCTGTACAAGTGTGTTCATGTTCTTTCGTTTTCGTGTTTTTTGTCTCGTAATCATATAAAATTTATAAGTCTATAAAATATATAAGTAAGCACATGATTTCAAGAATATCCTAAGCGCGATTTTGAACGTCAATATGGATTTGATATGAGAAATAATTTTAATATTAGTTTCTAATAACAAAGTTTTCTTTTTTTAACACTGGACTTCAACAAGAAAATTTCAGAATACATCCTTGGCATCATAAATCAATAAAGAAGAGTCGAGTTTTACTAAAACTACAATACTTACCATTGATCAAGTGTGTCTGTTTCATATAAATGCTCAATAAAGTATATTAGAAAAATACCAATCATACTTACACTATTTAAATTCTAAAAAGATGAAAAAAACATCTATGATGAATGGAAATTAATCAATGATTCAATTTCGAGAATTCGATAAGATTGTTTGAATTTATAGTTGGAAATTTACACATGGAAGAACTGATTGATGAAATTCTTTTACTCTAAATCTCAGGGATGTAATAAGGGAGAATTACAGAAAGGTAGGAGCTCCATACTGAGAAAATTATTATTTTCCCCATTTTAAATCAATTTTTTAGTAAAAAAACATTGATACACGGAGAGCAAGTTCTTCATCACCTGAGTCATTGTAAAGGAAAGCATTATCCCTGCCAACTCATGATGATTTAAATCAACGTTACCTTTTCATTTTTATTTATTAAAATTATTTCAACAATACTAGAATCGATTCGAAATCATGACAATCAACCATTTCATTACGAGGTCCACATATATACGGGCTACAGTTCAAAAAGCCGGTAATCACAAGACCAAGTTGATCGTGTTATAGGTTCCTTTATTATTTAAGAATACTTGATGTAGCAGCCACGCTTTGATGAAGTTTTCATGACTTCCTTATAAGTACATTACATCATACTTATGTGTTTAGCTGTTTGTGACTATGTTAGAAAATCTTTTCAACGTGGAATCCTATTGATAAGTGATTGTCGAACTTTAACTGTTCTATTTTCTTTTTCCGACATCAATTTGTTGTTGTAATTAGATAAAGACACAACACTGTTGCACGATGTCCATGTAAACCTCTCTGTTTTTTTTTCTTTTGAGTCTAGTTATATTTCATGTACATTAGTTATCTTTTCTCTTTTCTTTGTCTTTTTCTTTCACTTATTCATTTCACTATTTCGATTTTACCCAAAATCTTTATAGTCTGATTGTTCTCCTTCTTATTCGCGTTTCACTATTCAAAATAGAGCATTGTAAACCACATTTTTCTATCTTTTCCCGATGTGTTTTTTATTGGATCGAGTCAAATTTCATATAGCGGTCTATACGATGAACCAGCCAATACTGCCCAAATTGTTATGTTCTTAAAGTATAATCATATTTTCTAATCAATCATTTCGTTTTTGAGAATCATGGTAATAAGAAAGTACGTCTTTACGATAGTAATTCGTATAGCGAAAAACCAATATATGTATATACAGATAACACAATCTGTGGAAAATGAATAGAATCCTTTTTTTCTTATATTTGTAGATATTGGTACTCAGCATAGGTTTTTGTTTCAGATTTCTATTACCGATACAATAACTCTCAGTAATGTAGATTAGATAGGATAATACTAGAAGGTATTCTTATGTACTCAATATATTGGTTTATTGCTTAACAGGATTCTTCAACTTTTACAGTTGTAAAAGGTTTTCCTCATCTACTATTTAAGGCTATGGTATTTTTGTTTAGATAATTGTTAATTCTAACTTCATAAAAAGCTGATGATGGCATACTTCTACAAACGAAAAGTTTGAATATTTATTTGGATATATACGAATAAATCAATAACTCTATTACATATAACGAATCAACTACCCCATGCAATTTCATTACGTCAATCGCAGAAGTTGTATCATATGGAGTAATAGATATTCTTTCTAGCTTCCGCTACTTACATCATTGTCATTATTTGATATGCTACTACTACACAAGATAAAACACAGTATTCTATCCTTTAAAACCATACTTCAAGTCTCAATGGTTCAAAAGGTATCCAAATTTTTCAACAACTCATTATCTTCACTCTTTGAACAGACTATAAACTTTCTAGTTTTGTTCTGTGATTACATTAATCAGATCGATTATTCTCTGCATGTGTAGTCAGATTTATAGGTCTTAAATATCCAAAAGAAATATTTCCTTGAAATTCTTTGTTATCCATCGATAACAGTAGAGAAATTTATATCTCAATTTGTCATTATTTTCAGAACATTTTCTCTGCATTAGTATTCACGTTTTGTTAAGAAAAGAGGTCTCTTTCTTATTGATTCATTGAAATTTCTCTGTGTTCCTTTGCAAACACAACGTGGAATGGTCACCGAACAAAAAATTAGATTATCATAAGTTACGTTTTACCGTAATTGTTATGTTCTATGCATTTTTCAACATTTTGCTTCTATTATATTTTAGTATCTTCTTTTTTCGACACTTATGCATATAGACATGTGCTTATCTAAATGTATTCTAGTGATTTTCATCCATTATATTTGTAAGCAGCTTTATGTTCATTTTCTAAAATAGTTACTTTCTGTAAACCATGCTTAAGTTTCTTGTTTAGAAGACAAAGACAAATCTTTTTAAATATTCTTCACTGACGATACCAGGGATATTGCAACTTCTGTTCTTGTATGTTTTCTTTTATTTCGCACGATTTTGTGTGTTCCACGGGAGTAGTTTTTATTTCGAGCAAGAGTCATGTAATGAATATCATAATTTTGAATACTAACTGCATGAACTAGTTACATAAAATAATTTATTCAACAATCCAGAATGAACACAATGTGCATACGTCGTATTTTCTTGGAAGATTTTGGAACTCTTTTGGTAACGAACCATTGCAATATAGTGTGCATGTTTAGCCATTAACTTCATTATTATGTCAAGAAAGTGCCATCAATGGATAGAACAACCGTCTATGATAAAATACATAGCAGACTAAGTGCACTAATAGATCATTTTATAGTCTCTTGGTATGGCATATTCGACGTTTGAAATCAATGTGTTTGGCATCTGTAATCAAAATACGAATGATAGTGGAATTCACTACTCAATGTACATGTAATTTTTTTTAATTATCTGTTGTGTTTTGTCACATATTTTCTATCATTCTGTTTGAATATATGTGCCTTTTTTTCATCGAATTTGAAAAATAAATCTATTGATTGATTTTATTTCTTTTCAAGTTTAAGAAATTGATCATAAAAATGTTTTTGAATAACCAGAAGCAAAATAATTAAAATACTAATCTAGTTTCTTAAATAATTAAATTATTATTTGTTCGTTTTATTTTATTACCTAATATCTAGTTGTATGAGTTTATACTGCCAGCATATTGAATATATTATGATCGGCTTCAAACACAGGATGTCTCAAAAATCCCTTCTTGGCAAGTTTTTCGCAAAGTTCTAATATTTGATTTAACTTTATTAACTATTTTTTCAATGTAAGGTTGATATACAAGGTTTCTATTTATACCAACAAACTTCAAAAGTACTGTTCAAAGCTGTCACTTTTAACTGACATATAAAAGCTTAATCTTTCTTTCTGTTTCCAGCAAAATATTATGTAGCATTTGTTTTCTAATTTCTCCAATTTCTTCAATATTCTGATCTTTAACGTGTCGACATCTTTTGTGCAACTCAAATATATTTTCGAAGAAAATGGTGAGGGTAAGTTTAAATCGAGGTTTTGAGGTCTCTCTCCCCTCCCCCAGGCTTCCATCACAGGCCTTGACAACTAAAAGAAGTAGTGGTGCTTAGATCACTCTGGCAGTCGTCTGTAGATTGTAACTGTTTAGTCTAAATATTATGGATTTTCATTTTTCATGCAGTAAAAAGATCTGACTATAGGTGTCAATCAATAGGACTATTGTATTTTTGATCTAGTTGAGTCAGAAAAGAACGAACAAAGAAAAATATGAACTGATTGAACTCTAATTTTAAACAAAACTGAACAGTATATTTCGAAATTCGCTGAGAGAAATTATAGTGTGTGTGTGTGTGTGATAGCGTACTGAGCGATAAAATCAATATTTACAACAGGCTAATATGTTAGTGGAATCGACGAAACAAAGAGTAGAATTATGGTTGCTGCTCGCAGTGGTATAATATCGTACATACATGTGTTTATATGTTATCATTAGAAAAAAAGAAGTTATTTATTGAAGATGTATTCCATAATACAAATAGGTTTTTACAGTATAACGATGCTAAATGAATCAAATAAATCGGTAGGAAAGTAATTATAAATGCAAATATTTTCGAAATAATAAAAATTTCAGAGCGTATTTCTCAAATATAAAATTTTTTATAAACTTGACTTATTCATTTATTTGGTATTTTTTAAACTGAATTATTTTAAAACTTCTGACAACAATCTATACATTTATCGCAGTCAGAGTTTGTGACTTTCACAGTTTAGCACCGAACAAACTACACTGATAAGTTTTCTAATCGTTTTATAGACATTTGTCTTGTTGATATGTCTTCCTAAAAAGAAATATAATGGTATTTTCTTACGCTTACCGTCTATATTTTTTCATAAGTGTCATTATTTTCTTTTCGCTTTTTACTACAGAATTGACTGTTGTTAATCAATAGATTACATCATAAACAATTCTTATAGACTATGCAACTGAGCAACAATGAAGTTATAAATATACTATTAATGAGCTACGGTGTAACTATGGCTAGGCAGTCATCGATGAATGTTTGTGTTCATCCATGAATATGTAATCGATTGGTCAAAAAAAACAGAGAAAAAGGTAGTGAGAGAGTAATAATTGTCTGACTGAGTC